GACTCGGGCGTCTGCGTGTCGGCCATGAACGCGTGGATGTTGTTTTCGAGCAAGACACCGCCGACGACGGCCTTGAGGTCTTCGATCCAGACGTAGCTGCGGGCCGCGGGGCCGCGGATCTCGAGCGAATGGCCTTCAAGCGTGAGCTTGTCGGTCGTCAAGACATCCGGAAAGATGGTCGTGGCCGGCGCGTCCGCACCAAGCGCACCGGCCCATGCCTTGAGCTTGTCCGCGACCGTCTCCTTGATGTGCTCGACGACGGGCGCCGTCGCCACGATGGCAGCGTCCGGGAACGCGGCGTGGATCGTGTCAAGACCAAAGTAGTAGTCGGGGTCGCCGTGGCTCACGTAGATGGTTGTGAGGTGCTTGCCGCTGGCCTTGACGAGGTCGACGACGGCCTGCGCCTGGGACTTGCCAAACTGCGCGTTGACGAGGATGGCGTCCTTCTGGCCCGTGACGAGCACGGACGAGACGGGGAAGATGGCCTCCTTGCCGGGGTTGTACGAGGTGAGGTTGAGAGCCGAGTCGCCGCAGTAGGTCGTGGCGGACGTGGCGGCGGCGGCCATCAAGGTAAGAAGGGCAGAGAGAGGGTTCATTGTGCTTGACAACAAGTAAATTGAAGAATGAGCTGTTGAGATGCGATTGCCGAGGCCGCCGTCGATTGCCAACCGTTATTCTTGGGGTTAGCTTCCTAACCGTAGGGCATCACCGCTCACCATAGGACCGTGAGTAGCATCGTTCAAATGAAGACACGGTCGAACACGTGCGGAGCGCCAGTCTTCCGTCGTCGTCACGGGAAGGAATGTCTCTGGCTTTGGTACGGTGTGCAATTTTGTGTGACTGCTACAGCGGGTGTCTGTTGTGTGACGTTGTCTCCTTCGTACTGTATGCGTGTTCTTGTGTCGGCCTAGGCCAATGGACCAAGTTGGATCCAGCTCAAGGATGCGCTCGACGAATGCTCTGTGTATGCGCTTGACAAGTAGTCAAAAACCAGCCTTTGTCGTCGAGGCAACAATAAAGACCCGTGCCGGCAGTGACCTGGACATGCGTTGATGCGAATGAAAACTACGGAGTATTGTACATCTCGGCATGGGATAGACTTGATAACTCATTACACACTAGAGTATTCGATAAATCTCTGTCGCAAGAAACCACGAGTCCATCGCCGAGATCGGTATTGGCATCTTGAACCACACTTTGACCAAGGATAAGCGGCCATAAGATCTTATCTTCCTACAAAGTATCTTGGTATTGATAAGCTTCAATCTGTCTTCTGTTCTTAGTCATCTCACTGAGAGCTATATCGCTTCGTGGACGCCACCGATCAATGAGTCAAGGCAGTGATCTTTCTCAAGCGGACGTTTCGTCTCATTCAATGGTATCAGCACAGTAGCATCGAAGAGCCAGATCGTATCAATAATAGTGCGCGAATACGTCAGATCTTATTTCTACCAATTTAAGCAGACCCGGAGAGCACTGTGTTATTCAACGTAAGCTCGCACTACAATCCACCCGCGTAGCTTTGGCAAAGGGTCCGTTTTATCGAAGCTTGCGTCAATCTTCTCTTTTTCGAGCGTTCGTTTCGCTCGTCTTCACTGTCAGTGCGAAAGGGTATTTCGAACATATGTTGTCACATGTCTTCCGTTGAACGACCCGACTCCACAAGGACAAGAGTGTCGCGCGGCCTCGGCAATCGCATCTCAACAGCTCATTCTTCAATTTACTTGTTGTCAAGCACAATGAACCCTCTCTCCGCCCTTCTCACCTTGATGGCCGCCGCCGCCACGTCTGCCACGACCTACTGCGGCGACTCGGCTCTCAACCTCACCTCGTACAGCCCCGGCAAGGAGGCTATCTTCCCCGTCTCGTCCGTGCTCGTCACGGGCCAGAAGGACGCGATCCTCGTCAACGCGCAGTTTGGCAAGTCCCAGGCGCAGGCCGTCGTCGACCTCGTCAAGGCCAGCGGCAAGCACCTCACGACCATCTACGTGAGCCACGGCGACCCCGACTACTACTTTGGTCTTGACACGATCCACGCCGCGTTCCCGGACGCTGCCATCGTGGCTACGGCGCCCGTCGTCGAGCACATCAAGGAGACGGTCGCGGACAAGCTCAAGGCATGGGCCGGTGCGCTTGGTGCGGACGCGCCGGCCACGACCATCTTTCCGGATGTCTTGACGACCGACAAGCTCACGCTTGAAAAAAAAAAAACTCGAGATCCGCGGCCCCGCGGCCCGCAGCTACGTCTGGATCGAAGACCTCAAGGCCGTCGTCGGCGGTGTCTTGCTCGAAAACAACATCCACGCGTTCATGGCCGACACGCAGACGCCCGAGTCGCACACCGAGTGGCTCGACGCGTTGGCCGAGATCCAGGCGCTCAAGCCCAGCGTCATCGTGCCGGGCCACGCGATCGTCGGTGATGTCGCCGACATTGACTCGCCCGCGTTCACGGCCAAGTACATTCGCGACTTTGACGCTGCGACGGCTACGGCCAAGAACAGCACGGACCTCATTGCGGCCATGAAGGCGTTGTACCCCAAGGCCGGCAGCGTCATCAGTCTCGAGATCAGCGCGGAGGTCGCCAAGGGCGAGCGAACGTGGCCGTAAGCTTTGAGGGGCCACTACAGTCCTCGTCGAGATGCAGTGAGAGAGACTTTGAAGGCGTCATCCTATATCATTGTAAATCCTACATATATCATGTTTTGGTATATACTTTTTGGAATTATCGGTGTTGTTGGCGGTGGTGGTTACAAATGACAACCTGTCCATTGTTTGGCTAGGTTTATTCATCCTTGCTTGGAAGCAAAGGTACCGCAGCCAAACGTCGTCGCGGTATTGTAGTCGGGTGCAAGGATACGTGTATCGCATCCGAGTGCTCCTGCAACGCGTCGCGGATGACGCTACGCTTACGTACTCGCGGTGATATTGCGATCGCGCTTACTCTAGGTATGGACCGCTGCGAATGTCCGCGCCGAGCGCTCCCGAACAATGTGTCTTGATCCATGGAGCGAAACGCGCAGTGTTCAAAATGCCTCGCAAGCTACCCATGGTTCCGTACACGTCGCTCTCAGCAGCGGCGCTCGAGGCGCTCCAGTCGCGCGACGAGACGACGCTCTTCGTCGCGTTGGTGTGTCCGTGGGCGCACCGCACGCTCTGGACCGTCTCGAAAATTGACACCCCAGTGCGCGTGCTCGAGCTAAGTCTGGATAATATGCCGACGAGCTACCTGCGCCACTTCAATTCCCACGGGTCGGTGCCCTTTTTGCTCGCGAACGGCCGACCCATGCTCGACTCGGTCGACATTGCTAAGTACTTGGATGCGATGTTCAACAACGGTCACCTCGCTGCCAACGACGACCGCTTCGGCGCGGCGGTTGTGCAGCGCGCCGAGGCGGTCTTTGATGTCGCCCCGACGTTTGCCTTTCTCCGCAACGCGGATGCGTCCAAGAAAGAAACGCTGCAGCGCAAGATGCACGCGAGCCTGGCGCAGCTCGAGACGGTCTACGTTGAAGATGCGGCCGCGTACCGCAGCCGCGGGCCGTACTTGCTCGGGGATCGGTTCAGCCTCGCCGAAATCTTGATCTTGCCACTCCTCTTCCGCTTCAACTTGATCGCCAAGCACTACCACGACACAGAGATGCTGGCGCTGCACCCGGTGCTCGCAGGCGCGTTGGCGGCAGCGACCGCGCGACCTGCGTTTCAGCGTGTGACGCGCGAGCCCGAGATGTACTTGCGTGCGTTTGCCAAACTCCGAGCGCGCCACTAACTTGCCACTTGATAGAGTGCGATATGTTGGATAACCCATTGTATCACAAATCGACAGACTTTGTCGACAAATTGGTCGTCGAACTGGTTAGCGTTGGGTTGATAGGAATCATAGCTTAACAAAGTTTCAGATTCCGAGGCCCTTGTTAGACTCGTATAATAGTCTACAAACGCTTGTGTGGTCCTTGTAACTTGTGCACAAGAATTGTGTTGGCTTGTGCTAATTCGACCTGCGGCGTGATGCAAGAATTGTGTTGGCTGTTGGCTTGTGCTAATTCGACCTGCGGCGTGATGCAGCAAGCTTTTCGGTGGTGACACGGAAATGACGTGGCACACTCACAGCATCGCAAATGATCCGGATCCGGATACTAGATAGCATCGTGGTATGACGCTACATGATTCGCCGCCGGGCTTACGACAGCACAGTCGAGACGTAGTTGTACGAGGAACATCCCCGAGTTCTTATTTCGTGGTACTTCGGTCGAGAACGAGTCGTACGTACACTGTTGAATTTCCCTTGATGTTGACATCCATCGACTACCACACACTCTCGCCGAACGAGCTCGAAGCGCTCAAGACGAGCAACGGCCTCACGCTCTTCAATAACACGGTGTGTCCGTTGGCGCACCGCGCGCTCTGGACCGCCGCCGAGGTGCAGGCGCCGCTGGTGCGCATCATCGAAGTACCCATCCACGCGGCCATGCCCGCCAGCTACATCGACAAGTTCAACCGGTTTCGGTCGGTGCCATGCTTGCTCGACGACGGACTTGCCGTATACGAGTCGATGATCGTCGCCCAGTATTTAGACGCCAAGTTCAACGACGGCAAGCTCTTTGTTGCTGACGACCCGGCGGGTGCCGCGCTGTCCAACCTCGTAGTCGCCAAATTTGACATTGTCCCGTCCATCTTTGCGTTTCTTCGCAACAAGGACGCGGCCAATGACGACGAGCTCCAAGCAATTATGCTCGCCGGCGTCGCGGGCCTCGAGCGCATCTACCGGGAAGACGCCGCGGCGTTCCGTTCCCGTGGCCCCTACCTTCTCGGCGACCGGTTGAGCCAGGCCGAGATTGCACTAGTGCCGCACCTCTTCCGCTTCTCGCTCCTTCTGCGCACGTATCGGAACACGGAGCTGCTGCATGCGTGTCCGCTGCTGGCGGCGGCCCTCGAAGCAGCAACCAAGCGGCCGGCGTTTCAAGCGGCGACCTGCAAGACCGACGTGTACCTCACTGCCGGCGCCAAGGTCGTCGGCTCGTAAATCGACTCTCGATCGCGCACAATGCCAGCCATGACTTTTTGTTCCATAAAGAATACCACAAAGAAACCACAGTGCACAATAAAGTCAAATGTTGGGAATGCTGCCGCTCCGGCCCTCTTCCTCGTACTTTCCATGGGCGACGTCGCGTCTCGACTCGACCGACGCTAGCAGTCGTAGCAACGTTCAGTGCATGCGACAGAGGCTAGTCCATCGCCATGTACTGTGCACATTTTTTTCTTTGTTAAAGACAGTATACTATGTAACAACGTGTGCGCGAAGGTGTGTGCATGCTGGTTATCATCGCAGACACAAGGGAATATGCGGCGAACGAGTATGCGTTCTGAGAGGTCTTTCGTGGCCGCTCATTGGTGCAGGGCCGGCGACGGCGATTGATTTCGAGAGGTTTTTCCCGTTGGCGTCAAGCTCAAATCTCAATTACGACCATGAGTGGTAAAGGCGACGCTGCGGCCAAGAAGGCCAAGTCCTCGAAGCGCAACTCCGCCAAGGGCGGGAGCCGCAAGTTCGTCACGAGCTTCGAGGAGATGGAGGCCCGCAACAAGGTCGAGGAAGTCAAGCAGGAGAAGCGCCGGGCGCGCCGCGACGACGACGAAGACGGCAGCTCGGACGAAGAGGGCGGCGCCGACGGCGAGCTCGACGTGGTCTTTGAAGAGGCCGAGGAAGAGAAGCCGGCGGCCGACGCTGTCCGCGCGCCCAAGCCCAAGGGCGTCCAGTCGCTCATCCAAGTGCAGAACCCCAACTTGCAGAACGCGTCCAACAAGGTCATGAAGGCCAAGGACATGGTCGGTGACGCCGAGCCGCAGCAGCTCACGCGTCGCGAGCGCGAAGCCATCGAGAAGGAAGCCAAGGCCGCCGCCTACATGAAGCGCCACTTGGCCGGCGAAACGGTACGCGTTATCCTGCGCCATCATCCGCCATCTAACGCTGTTCTAGGCGGAAGCCAAGAAGGATCTGTCGCGCCTTGAAGAGGTCCGCAAGCGGCGAGAAGACGCGGCGCGCCGCAAGAAGGAAGAAGAAGAAGGTACGACGATATGCAACACAAGCCATCAGCGCTGATTGTGTGCGTGCTCTAGCCGAGGCGGCCAAGCAGACGAAGGCGGCCAAGACCTCCAAGGCCAACGACGGTACGTTGTGCAGATAAACATGTGGCTGTGTCTTATGCGCATGCACAGATGAGATTCTGGACGCGCGCGCGATCAAGGCGCTCAAGCCCAACGTCTTGAAGGACAAGCTAAAGGAGCGGGGGCTCTCGATCCAGGGCCAGAAGAACGATCTCATTCAGCGCCTCATCGACTACGAAACGAAAAGGCTTTGTAAGAGACGTACTATCTACCACGTCGACTCGTTCTTATGGACTGTTCCTGCCTACTAACTACCAACGTGATGAACGTCGGGTGCATGACCACTACGCAGCCGCCGGTCTTCCCAAGGCATTAATAGCATATGGCACTACCGCCCCAGCGTTTGAAAGCCTTGCAGCATGGAGGAAGAGCTTGTGCGCTTGGCAGTGCCATGCATTTGAGTGCCATGCCATGCTGGTAGAATCTTTCTCGTACAGTATTTCACATGCACACTAAAATGTTTTTCTATAAATAGTGTTTGTATAGATCCCAGCGCCCTTGACCCTTTCTCTCGCTACAGAACTCGCACGATGACGCCACATAGCATTGCGTGCTCCCCAACATGTCTTCTATTATGGTACCAAGTACGAGCGATTTTCTTTTCAAACATGATTTGGCCGATCTCGCGACGCGTTCTCGCCTCGGTGCGCCCTCACGCGGCTATTTTTGTCAATATGTGGTTATTAATGGTAGATGCCATAAATAATGTCTCGGTCGCTGGTTACTGCGCCACGGACAACGCTGCCGACCTTACTCAGCGATGCTGCATCGTCTTTCGATGGATAAACTACTTATACGGCGCTGCCTCTCTGCAGGTTGTCTACTGAGTGCCAGCGCTGCAACGACCGGCCCTACTACGAAGTGGCGTCGGTGCAAATTAATGTACGGCGCTTGTTGTGAGTCGTGATATAGTGTGATTAAATTTCTGGATTTAAAGCACTTGGTTTTGTATGTGCTTTAGTATGGAATGTATTCTAGTAATACCTATCACGTTTTTCGAAAAACGCACGCGTTAAACCTCGCGGCGACGAAGGGACTTCTAGATTTGGTGGGGTGGCAGCATTGACATGAACGCCAACGCGGTCCAGCAGCAGATGCTCAGCGCGGTCTCGGAGCGCGTTCTGGAGACGCTCGAGGCGCAGGAAGCGCGCTTGGACATGCAGATCAAGCAGCTCGAGACGATGGAAGAAGACGACTTGGACCGGCTCCGCGAGCGCCGGCTGCAGCAGATCAAGGCGGCGGCGACGCAGACGCAAAAGTGGAAGGACGCGGGGCATGGCGAGTACACGGAGCTCTCGACGCAGCAAGAGTTCTTTGACGTCATCAAGGCGAGCGAGTGCGTCATCTTGCACTTTTACTCGGCGACCAACGCGCACTGCCCGCTCCTCGACAAGCACCTCCGGACGCTGGCCGAGTCGCACCTCGAGACCAAGTTTTGCCGCATGAACGCCGAGAAGGCCGACTACCTCGTGCAAAAGCTCGGTATTTGGATGATTCCGTGCGTTGCGCTCATCAAGAACAAGAGCGTCGTGCACATGCTGGAGGGCCTCGACGAGCTTGGCGGCACGACCGAGTTTTCGACCCATTACCTCGCCTACTTTTTGTCGACCAAGAAGGTGCTCAAGTTTGATGGCGCGCCGCCCGAGTCGGTCACCGACAATGGCCACGCGAACACCGCGCCCAAGCAAGGCCCGATCAAGCAGTCGGTCTTTGACTACGCGAGCGACGACGACGACTACGACTAGAGGAACATGACAACAACGAAAATGGGTTTTGCCAGCGGGTGCGATAACTTAAGGGTTGTTTGGATGGAGTAGTTGCCGGCGGTACGCGCGCTGCTGGGCGCGAATGTGCTGCGCGCTCTCCTTCGTGTCGATGTGCTCGAACGCGACCTCGCGCCACTTGGTCATGTCGGCGCCCCACGTTGCCCGCGCCGTCGAGACCGCCTCGGCCTTGTCCTGCAGCCCAAAGCTGCGCATCTCGCAGACCGATGGCAGCGTCATTGGCAGCGGCGCGGGCCCAGCGGCCGCGATCGTTGTCGTCGTTCGCTGGCGCTTGCTCCGGTCGTCGGCCATGCCTCGTCCAGTTCCAGTGGTCGTTTCTTGTCTGGCCCGGGACATGCCATTCACGACACAGCGATTGGCTGAAACTCATGCCGTGAACGCATCGTGATTGGCTGGTAACGCTGTGTGGCGCGAATTTGGCGCCAAGCACGAACGTTGCCTCGCCAAGAACCTAGTCGGAGCAGTACTTGATCCGAAGGAACTGGCGGAGGAAGGAACGACGTGGGCAGGCTGCAGCTAGCAGCATGGCTTGAGGTAGCACCACTGCAGGAAGTACCTGTCGGCTACGGGTAATGTGCATGCAGTGAGAGAGCGCGTAAGGATGGGTGAGAAAGGACGTACATTCGGCAGAGATGTTGAGCTGTGATAGCCAAGCTAGCACGTCATCGTCATCGCTCGTGCAGCGCTCATCGCCGCGCGTATATGTGTCCTCCAAGAGGTGATGAATCATGGTGGCAGCTTGCACTGCGATGTCGAGGTCGACGAACGTTTTTTTTGGTCGACTCGTATGCTCGGCAGTACCATGGACACAATCCCAACACAACCCGCACGCACGTCATTGAATAGGATTGATGAGGGTATTACTGTACATACCTGCCAACTGCGAGTTTGACGACCGCCTTTCCCAGGTCATGGCCGCACCGAATCGGGTCTTGTCCCGTGCTCTCGGCCATGTCGGGCAGGAGGGTTATCAAAAAAGACGACGAAATGATCGTGTAGCAGCTGTGTTGGAGTATTACTAGTACTCGATGCCGGTACCAATGCCTACGCCGACGTGAGCACCGATGCTACAAAGCGAGCCATGTGCAACATCAAATCGGCCATTTGATTGGCTGAAATGGGCGTAGAGCGTTGCAAACGGCCAATCAGGAACCGGACCATCAACGTCATTCTCGGACTCATGACCAGCCTGAGCAGCGGCAGCGAGACCTTTGCGCTGGGCCGCCACGCCGCCATCGTCGTCGCGACCGAGGACGCGCTCGAGATAGCGATGGCCAAGAAGCCGGTCCTTCGCCTGCTCTGGGCGGACGTCCTCGGCGCGAGCACGGGCCACGACACGATCGGCGCGACCTGCAGCCTGCCCTTGCTCATCCACGTCGTCGAAAAGACAAAGAGCGGCAAGCGCAAGCTGCGCGACGTGGTCTTGACGTCGTGCGGCGAGGCCAGCAATGGCATTCACCAGCTCGAAGTCGACAAGTGGGTGCGCATCATCCAGTACTTTGCCAACCCGTGCCGGCCGCTGGTTGGATTGCCCACGCTCGACGCCATCATGCAGCACCCGCCCAAGCAGCGCGTACGACCACCAAGTCTTCTATGACATTGGTGCTCATGTTGTCGGTGTGATGACGTACTACTAGACGTTTCTTGTGCTCATCAACCCCGTCGGCGGCACGGGCAAGGGCGAACACATCTACGGCAAGGTCGAAACCATCCTGGGCCTCGCCAACATTCGCGTCGAGAAGATCGTGACCGACCGGCCGAAACACGCGACCGACGTGGCACGCACGCTCGACGTATCGAGCTTTGACTGCCTCGTTGTCGTGGGCGGTGACGGCTTTGTGTACGAAGGTCTATTTCTTGGGACGACGGCTGTTTTCTATTCTCTGTCACTCTAGTCGTCCAAGGCTTGATGCAACGGCAGGACTGGGCCACTGCGATCCAGCTGCCGCTCGCCATCTTGCCCGCAGGGACCGGCAACGGCTTGGCCAAATCGATTTGTGATGGCGCCAACGAGCTATGCACGCCGGAAAGCGCCATGTACCTTGCGGCGAAAGGCCGCCCGCTGCCCCTCGACGTGGCCACCTTGCGTAGGTGTTGGCGATGAGGCTGCTTGTCCTATATGACCAAATACGTAGGCAATGCGACGACCACGAGCTATCTTTTGCTTTCGCTCACGTGGGGCTTCATGGCCGAAATTGACCATGACAGTGAGAAGTACCGCTTCTTTGGGGCCCAGCGGTTCGTCGTCGGCACGATCGTCAAGCTGATTGCGCCCAAGAGCTGGCACGGCACGCTTTCGTACCTTCCGAGCAGCGACGAGGACGAGCCGCCGTACGCCGACACGAGCGTGACACCGACGCTCTTGCCCGCTGTGGGCGACCCCGTGTCCTCAAATTGGACGCGTCTCGAAGGCGACATGAGCCTCTTCTGGGCCATGAACGTGTCGCACGCGGCCAACGACGCCAAGATCGCGCCCAGCGCGCGCCTCGACGACGGCTACTTGCACATTGTGCTCATGCAAGGCAAGGCGTCACGCACCGAGTACGCGAGCATGATGCTCGGCATTGAGAAGGGCCAGCACGTACACCAACCAACGGTCCAAGTGATCAAGACACGGTACCACCATGGCATGTGCGTGGCTATATTGGTCGAGCGGACATTCGTAGGGCCTTTCAGCTCGAGACGCCACCAGAGAACCTTCTCATGGCCGACGGCGAGCGCTGCGATGGCGGCCTTTGGCAGGTGCAAGTGCACCGTGGGCTGGCCCGTGTCATGGGACTGCCCGCGCCAAACGAGTACAAGTAAGATGGTATCGTACGTTTTTAAAATGGCAAACATGGTCTGTGAAGAATTGTGCGCCTTGACGTGGGGGATGTGGTTTCTGCAGTGTGTACTTGTCGATTGAAAATGAGGAAATCCAGTCGCTATCTCCATATGCGCGCTATGACGGCCAGCTTGATATGTCTATGGTGTGGCGAAGGTTTGCGATGAGCAGCATGTTCGACGGCTTGATCTGTGGACCCTTTCCCCATGAAACCGTACGCGTGTAGGGTTCAAACGCCACTGAAAACTCGATATTGATAGGTGTCCATCCCGTTTGAATACGAGTCGGTCACGGGCGAGCCCGCAAGAGCACTGCGATGGCTTCGTGTCCTAGCTCCTCGGCCAGCATCAGTGCCGTCTGGCCGCTCTACCGATCCAACCATTGTTCGCTTCGGTTCGGAAATTGGATGCGCCGTACCTGGTTGTGCATCGAAATGTCTAGCGTTGACGCTTTGACGTCGAGTAGAAGCTCGACGAGCTTGCTGTGGCCGTACAAACTCGCGTAATGCAGCGCCGTGTTGCCTTCCTATTCATAGACTGTAGGTGTCGATGGTCGTTCTCGCACGACCTTGTCTTGGAGGTTGCCATCGATGGTTGCGTGCGTGAGGAGCTGACTGACAGACGCGTAGAGACCCATGGCACACGCGCAATGCAAGGCCGAGAGACCATGTCGCTGTGTTCCCATCGATGAGTCGCTTGCGCAAAAAACGCTGACGTACGGCATCGGTGGCATTGATTTCGAGTGCGGGCGACTCCATGAGCGCTCGCAGCATGCTCGGGTCATCTGTTTCGTCATACGCAATGTGGAGTGCTCGGAAGCCGTTCTTGAAACGAGGGCATCGGTCAACCAAAATGCAAGCAAAGTCGTTGGTACCGTAAAAACCTTGGGGGGCGCCCCGTTGTGGGCCACCAAACGGGGGGCAAACGAAGAAACAATCTACCTCGCTTTTTCAAAAATGGCGCAAGGTGGCATACCTACCTCTTCGTTGGGGTTGACGAGCGGCAAGAGATATCGCACAACGTCGACTTGCCCCTTGTCCACGGCCATAATGAAGCAGTTCCAGCCTTTCTACACCAAGGGCGTCAACACATGAAAAAAAGAAATAAAATGGGCACAGCATCATGGGCGTCAAGGTCCGCGCCTGCGTCCAAGAGGACTCGTACGACATCGGGACGGCCAAGGGCGCATGCGAGCTGCAAGAGACTCACACCGTGCTACGCAGCGAAAACGAGAAGCCATCGCCACGAGGCTCGCTCGATCGAATGTACCTCGTTCACATGGTGCACGTTGGCGCCATGGCGCAGCAGTGCTTGAATGACATCGAGCGAACCAAACTCAATGGCCGTCGACAAGGCCGTAAAGCCCCCCTAGTTACCACACTCCGTTTTTCAACACAATTGATCAAGAGACGTACGGGGAAGGTCTGATCAATGCACTTTGTCTCGGCGAGCAGTCGTTCCATCATCGTTGCCGGGCCGAGTTGCGCGGCCAAATGCAGCGCCGTGCGTCCATTCTACCAAGCACGTCAGAAACGACCGAACGACGCGTCGCATTCCTCGGCGGCTTGATCGACGTTGGCGCCGGCGTCGAGGAGTCGCGCGACGACGTCTTCGTCGCGCGTTTCAACCGCCAAGCGCAAGGCGGTCGTGCGCTTGATCGGCGCATTGACGTCGACGAGAGGCAAAAGCAGCGTCACCATGTTTGGCTTCTTGAGTGTGATGGCTTTTCCGAGCACCGAGCAGCCGTCCTACACAAACCGTTCGGATCCTCTCGTAGACGCGACGATGCATACATAGCGTGCTAGTAGCGGGTTCGCCCCCGCAGCCAAAAGTTGTCGAAGGACCGAGCTTGACCGCGCACGAAACACGGCCGTCTCGCCGCTCTACCCGCAAAAAAGGCGAGTGAAGGGGTAGGGTTGCAATGCGGGGTAGGGTCCTTACACGGTTGCGCACATTGACCGTGGCCACGTCGAGCACTGGCAAGAGTAGTGCAACGATATCGACGTGGTGCTGCGCGACAGCATGTAACAGCGGTGTGTTGCCTTCCTACGCCACCGACCCATGTGTCTTGGGTGGATGCAGCAGGTGGTTCAAGTAGTGTACCCCATCTGGAAGGCTCGGGTCTGCGCCATTCGCAAGAAGCTGCTCGACGATCGCCGTGTGGCCGTCAAAGGCAGCCGCACACAAATAGGTCGCCCCAGTCTACAGGAGCCTGTCAGAACGAGCGTCCCTTATTCAGAGTACCGAAAGCACGCGGTTGACGTTGGCGTGTGGAAGCAAGCACGCGACAATGTCACCCGCGCCGTGTACGACGGCGGCATACAGCGCCGTCGTGCCTTCCTATTCCAGACACTCTATGTGAGCGCATGCAAGGTTTGGGGCAAAAGGACACACGGCGTTGATACGGTCGACATCGTGTTTGATGTGCTGGACGAGGAAACGTACAACGTCCAGATGCCCTTGGGCGCAAGCGGCCTCGAGGGGGGCTTCGTGCTCCTAATTGAACGCAAATCACATCAGTACGCAAGGTTACAGACGTCACATACGGGCTTGGAAGGCGCGAGGTGCGCCCCGACCGAGTACAGAGCGTGGACAAGCGCAAGGTTGCCGGCCGCCGCTGCGATGGCAACCGCCGAATAGCCGTGCTATTCCATCATTCTTGACCGTCAAGCGCCGGTTGATACATGGGCCACCTACCGCAGCGACTGCGTTGACGTTGCAGCGCGGCGCGAGGTACGTAACGAGGTCGTCCCAGCCGCGGCGAGTTGCGAGCATGAGCGCCGTGTTGCCGTTCTATTCATACAATATTATAAGCCACTGGGTGGCGGCGCGTTGTCGTATATACCCGGTCGACTTGGTTGACGTCAACGCCGTAGGTTTCGACAAGCAGTTTGGCAAAGTCCACCGAGTGCACGTCGACGGCCAGTAAGAAGAGCGGCATGCCCTACGTGACCAGTCTACAGATCGCAGGACAATCAAGAGCATGCTTACATAAAGCATGACGTTGGCGTTGGCGCGGAAGTCATGCAGCACGCGCGCACTCTCCACATCGTTGGCATCAAAGGTGTAGCAGAGCGCTGTGACGCCGTCGTCCTACAAAAAATTGCGGATCAACAAATCATCCAAAGAGCGCGTGCGTACGTCGGCACAGGCTTCCGTGTCGGCGCCGTGCTCGAGCAACGCCGTCACAATGTCGGTGAGACCGTGTCGACACGCCTCTTGGAGCGCCGTGAATCCGCTCTACCCGACCCCGTCAGACCCGCGCCATGGATTCCATCAACTTACGGGCGGCACTACATTGGGATCGGCGCCGTGACGTAGAAGCGATCGCACAATCTCGGTATGCTCGGATTGCACTGCTGTGATGAGCGGGGTCGTGTCCTACGTCCCGTGAGCGAGGCAGATGGATGCGTGCAAAGTACTGTACCTGGGCTACGATCGCGTTGACATTGAGTCCCACCGCCAGCAAGCTATCGACGGCTTCGAGGTCGCCCGCGCGGGCTGCGAGGACGAGGAGGGACGGGCCGGCGACCTAATCGATAGGCATAGCATCGTCGCCGTGATGGGAAGCGTCGACACCTCGGGCGTGAGGCCATGGAGCTTGACGTCGGCGAGGAGCGATGCGATGGCGCCTGCGTCGCCGTCATGGGCCTGGTCGAGGAGAGAGCTCGTGGTGGCGACCTACAATGCGACGTCGTCGTCGTCGTCGCAATGGTTCATAGACATTACCATGGCACGATGGCTGCGCGTTTGAAAATGTGGGTCCCTTTGGTGGTGTCTTTCGATGAGACACGCGGCGTAATTCGCTTCTTCAAGTACAACATACCACGCGTGGCGCCTTGCTTTGTGTCAAGTGTACTTGTATAAGGGAATCCCATGACCGTTCAATGTCGCCGCTGCGACCTCGGTCGGTCACGGATATCAGGGCGAGACGACCGTTCGCCTTTCCCAACACGTCGCGCTGCAAGAAAATGATGGGTCGCGGAGGCGCCGCTTCGATACCCGTGGTGGAGGGCATTTATGTTGTATCCAATGAGTGCTTTCGCGTGCAGAAACCATCAATCGCAACGAGCGACCCAATCCACACGCCCCTCCTTGGTCGACTCTCTGTGGCTACCCTATACAACTTACCTATTTTGATTGGGAACGGCGTGAAGAAGTATGGATGGATGTAACTAGGACTTCGTATGCGTCCACACCAAATACAACGTTTTCAGTCCACGATTCCCGAATCAAGGGTGACTTTTTATTGACCATGCACGAGTGACCCTTGCCTGAACATGAATAATGAACTACACAAATGATTGCCGGAACACTCCTATTTGTGTCCAGGAATGCGCTAGCCCAGATATGTGACGACGAACCTGCTGCGAGGTAGCTGCACGAGTGCTTGCCTTGATCGCTTGGCGCCACGAACGAATCCAGACTCTACATTTTGCTCGCCTGTTTTAATAAGACGGTCCACCTCGAAGCGCTCGCACGGAAATGTACGTGGCAGAATTTCTTGTTAATTTAAAAGCAGCACCAGCAATCAAACGGGCAGTCGGCCGTGTCGCCGCCTTGGTTGATGCGCAGCGATGCCGCCGTGTAGATCGGGAGCCCGTCCGCATCGTAGCGAACTATCGACGCAATGCATTCGTGTGAGGCATGACAAGGGCGGTGGCAAGCGTACCTGGCTGCGGGTTGGAGCTGTCACTATGCTTCGTCTTGTCTACCACGTGTACAACATCGTATGAGGTCCTGCTGCCATAGAGGATAGCATTGTACATTCGTTCTCGATCTTCTCGAGCTTCTTGCGGTACGCGAGCTTCTCGGCGCGCTCGTCGTCGAGCCGCTTTTGCTCGGCCGCACTGTCGGCCTGTGCCTTCTTCTTCTTGGCCTTCAAACCCGAGAAGAGCGCGTCAAGCTCCAGCTTCGCATCGGTCTTGTCTTCGATCTCGTCGTCGGCGACTGCGTCAGCAACATCGTTGGCAGCGTCATTGGCCTCGTCGGCGGTGGCCGCTTGCTTGGCCTTTTTCTTCTTCTTCTTACTGCTTTTGGACGCAACCGCGACAGTATTGGTCGCAGCCACTTGGACGATCGCCTGCTTGGCGTCGGCTTTGGCAGCTGCCTTCTTGGCCTTGTTGGGCTTGATCTTCTGCACGAGCTTGCTCTTGGTGGCGGGAGGCGGCGCCATGAGCTGCGATGTAGTCTTGCTGCTGATGACCACTGAAATGCTCGCTGGGCACGTGATTGGGTAAAACCCAATAGCCAACGGCGCGATGCCATTGGTGGATAGGTTGTGCGCTATCGTGGATTGGCTGTTTTCGAAAAGGACGTTCGATTGGATAAAAGTCGGTAGGCATGGGCTACATCCACGCCACCTTAGCGTGCCATCCGTGTCCACAATCACAAACAACTCGTCTTTTGAGTAGCTCTCCCTCAAAGACCATAAAACTCAATTATTAAACTTATTCGCAAGCTGTTGTCGCATCGCTGTCACGACGCAGACCTCCGATTGAAGTCGTGGAGGGATAAAGTGTGGTGTATTTAATCATCAGAATCATCGCCTGGGATTGGTCCACTCGGCTAGGAAGTGCGAGGATTGGCTTAAATCCATTGTCGCATCGGATTGGTGGAAAAGCCCGTGTCGGCAATGCCATTGGGCCAAACGCGCTCGAGTTCGAATCCGTGGCTTGGAGACGCGGTAGTTTTCTTCCCACATCGTAGCCGCCATGTCGACCCAAATGTTCGAGGACATCTTCGAGATCAAGCAGCTCAACCCGGAGGGCAAGAAGTTCGACCGCGGTACGTGCTACGCTGCGTACGCCATGCAGCTCATGCGCGCCTGTAGTCACGCGCCTCGTGTGCAAGGGCGTCTCGTATGAGCTCGAGCTCATGCTCGACATCAACTCGGAGGTCTTTCCCATGAAGGTGCACGAGCAGTTTACGTTTGCGCTTGTGAGCACGCTCGACCTGGATGGCAAGCCGGACGATGGCATCTTTGACCAGAGCGGCAAGGTAGTTGCCATCATCGCCATTGGATGTTGATCGTTGCATGTAGCCGTCGCTTCTCGACCGGTACGACTATGGCATGTACGGCAAGGTCTTCCAGTACGACCACGAAGGCGGCAACACGGTCGCGATCTTCGCCAGCTTTGGCGGTCTCCTCATGTGCCTGCGCGGCGACCAGTCGCATCTGCGCAACATCCACAACGGCACGCGCGTCTACTGCCTCTTGCGCCGCCAATAACTACTTTTATAACTATGCTTCCTGCTGCCTCTTCTGCGACTTGACGAGTACGCTCCGAGAGGTCGACCTCACGACCACGATCTAGCCGCCGTGCATGGCGCAATCACTTTCGGGCCGTCCAAACAGCCAGGTGTGGACGGCGGACAAGGCCCCGACGTCGAGCCTGCGGTCATGCGCGCGTCCTCCAGCTCGGTGCAGGATGGTGCCATTATGGCCACCGCTGGCACGTGGGGCCACGCCATCAAGGCAACGGAATCGGGCGACATAGGCGACTTCTGCCGACGACATGCGATGCGACTTGACAACATGTCATTTGCATCAACCAGAAGGCTTCCTGCATAGAGATCGTGTTGTGGACCAAAGCTTACTGGCGACGCTTGCGCTCATCCGAGCCCTGCTTCATCTTGTCCATGATCTCTTCGCGCGTGTACTGCTGCGCGGGGTAGTTGATATAGTCCATCTGCACTCGAGCATGAGCCGTGCTTCGCAAGGTAGCACTCTGATAGTACCTTTTGGACGGCCGCGGTGACAATCTCGGGCTGCATGTAGACGTAGGTGACACCAATGGGCACTATCAACAAGGCCATGAGCATCTGTGTCTACCTCGCATGTAGATGCATACTCGTAACGTAGACCGTGAACTTGAAGGCTTCGAGCAACTTTGATCGGGACATGACGCTTCGCTCTTCCTTCGCCTTCTTTGGAACTGCTGCAAATGGCCTGGCCAAGCAACAAACTCGTTTCTATGTGGTCCTATCTTGGCGTTTGTATGTGGTATTCAATTCCATTCGTAGGTCGTTGATTGGTCCATTTTCGGAAACATGCATATGATTGGTTGAAATCTCGGCGTGCAAGCCAGCCGATTACTCCGGTTCATGCGTCGAACTGTGTTTAAACGGGGTTAACCCACGTGCGCTTTCCCGCCGTTGCTTTGGAACCCGCGACATCCGAGCGCCATCGCCGTCTTGAAACAAACCTGCGCGATGGAAAGGTGTACAAACTGACGTAGTTTTTATAGATTGCGCTGGTTATCCTACTGAGTCGACTACGACTAGCTTCATAGCCACATATTGCTCGTGAAATCGCCTGAATCGTCCATGTATTCAGCCTACTCTTGACGAGCTGCGGTCGCTGCCGAGGCCACATCACTGCTGCATTGGTATCTGTGTCGCAGTACCATCTCGCTGTCCACTGAGATGACAAAAGATGTTGTGGAAGCACAGTCTTCCGCGCATGGCGCCGCGCGCGCCCACTTGAAATGCGGTTAAATAGGTATATCAAAAAGTGCATCGTGGTTTTATGGTTTAAACCAAAAGCCCGCCAAGCACGATGACAGCACCAGCATGGCGCTGGTACAATGACGTGCTCGGCGCACCGCGCTTTGTCTGCGCGCCAATGGTGCGCGCGTCCGAGCTAGCCTTTCGCCTCCTCACGAGAGAGCTCGGGTGCGACCTCACGTTCTCGCCCATGCTGCATGCGACCGAGCTCGTGGCGGCGGCCGCCGCTGCACCCGCCGGCACCGACATCTCGTTGGCCTTTCTCGACACGTCACCGGCGGACCGGCCACTCATCGTCCAGCTCTGTGGCAACGACCCGACCGCGCTTGCTGCCGCCGTCCAGCTTGTCCAGCACCGCTGCGATGGCATCGACCTCAATTTAGGCTGCCCGCAGCGCTGCGCTGAAATCGGTGGTTTTGGCGCCTACTTGCTCGAGCAGCCCGACACCATTGTGTCCATTGTGCGCGCCATGGTCGCGGCGTCAAACATACCGATATCGTGCAAGATTCGTCTTCTGCCGTCGCTCGACGAGACCATTGCTTTGGCCCAAGGGTACTTACATGCATCAACAACCTATGCGTACCTGCAAGCTCAATGCTGCCTAGGATCCAAGCCGCGGGCTGCGCGATGCTCACGGTCCATGGCCGACTCCGTGCCCAGCGACACCACGAAGGCGTTTGCAATTGGGACGCGATTGGGGCCATTCGCAAGGCCATTGCGATCCCGATGCTCGCGAACGGCGGCATTCGATCGCGCGCCGAGGCAGAGGCATGCCTCGCAGCGACTGGGTGCCAAGCCGTCATGGCCGCGACGGGCCTCTTGGAGAATCCGAGCATCTTCGCGGTGGAGCCCCAAGGTATCTACGACGTTGCGCTGCGCTACTTGGCGATCGTGGCGGAGCAACCGCGCACGCTGTACCCGACGGCCGCGCGAGACCATGTGCTCACCATGTTTCGGCACAAGTACCGCGAGACTGACATGGACGTCTTTAGCGTTCTCGGACACCACGACGTGCTTCTGCCAGCGCAGCTCGAGGCGGTTCTCGGACACATTGCCGCCCGCAACGGCGATCCACCGTGCACTCGGTATGGCACGACGCTTCCGACGCTGCGCGCGATTCGGTACAACGCGATGACTACAACGGAGGACAACGATACGTGCGCCGACGAGCAGCAAGACGACGACGACGACGGCCTCGGCTTCGCGTGGATGGGCGACGACGACGCGTGATCTGGTATTTCCTGATAGATTCTGACAAAGTGGCACAATAATGCAGAAACCATTTTTGAGCATGTTCACGACGTACGACCAGGCGTGTTGCGGTGGGCACAGACGACACAATGTGCGGAAACGCCCCTTCTACGAGAAGTAGGCAAACATGGTACTCGATGGTTGTGTAGAGAATCAAGCCCATTGCACCTCTCGCTGTTAGATCAGCACCCTAATCGCACGCGTGGTGGGGGTCATGCAGTGGGGCAAAAGGATCCAGCAGGATTCTTCTTGTTGGGAGAGGTTGGGCATCTGATGCGCCTTGATGCCGAAGTGTTTCGGTGACAGCAGCAGTCGCGGATGATTGTGCTATGGCCGTGTGCGTTGCTGTGGCTACTGTGTGGGATCGGGCGACCGCTTCCCAGCCACGGCAATCAATACATGGCTGTCGTTGAGCCTTGTGGTGCCGCCGATTGGGACGCAGAGAGACGGTTCCTCCTCATCGGATTGCATGTTGGATCGTTAACTCGCGTGGACGAGGGAGGCGTCCTGGATCTATCTTCTATATACGGGTGGAAACACTAAAAACTCGGCGGCGCCAACTGCTGTTCGCTCGTGTCAATGCCGTGCTCGTCGACAAAGTCTTGCGGCGGCGGCGTGAGCATCTTGCCGACCATGATGCCAAGGCCTTCAATCAAGGCGAGGAGCGCACCACCGATGACGGCCTGCGTGAACGCGACGCGCGGGCCCGACCGGATCGCAAGGGCGCCACCCGTGAGCGCGCCGGCGCAGATCGAGTTCCACGGATCTTCCTTTTGACGAATGGCCGCGAGCGAGCAGTCAAAGGACGAGAAGAGGCAGCCCCAGATCGCAAACTGACCGGCGAGCAGCGGCGAGCGCGCCTTGACCGCGTAGACGGCGCCGCGGAAGCGCTCGCCGGGCGGCGAGTTGCGCGCGCCCTTAACGGAGTGGAAGATGCCACCGCCGACGGCGCCCATGCCAAAGGCGCCGCCCATGTCTTCGATGATGCGGTACGGACACGGCTCACGGTCCATCTTGCTCGACTGCGGCGATTTCGCGTTTGGGGACGTCAGCTACGTTTACTGGACCAATAACTCTGCCGCATGCGATTGGCTAAAAAGGTGCAATAGACAGCCTGGCGCGTGTTTGATTGGTAGAAATCGATGAGGAGGGTCCTTCGATTTGCTTCGAAAGAATCATACAATGTTTTTTCTTATTGGACATACCGTTCACAAGTATAATACCATGAAATAATATACGCCGGCCGACGACCGGGTGCACGACGTGTTGCAAGTGCCACCTAGGAGGACTGTCGAAAGGCAACCCTAGCCATGCTGGCCTCGGCAGGGTGTACGACACATCTTCCACGCGAGCTATCGGATTCTTTAGTAGTTAAAATGTGTAATAGTTCTCCTAACTCTGAGTCAATCATGTAGTACTATCAATGGAGCAAGTGGCGCCACAGAGTGTACGGGCGGTCCTTTCTTCACGCTAGTCCACCTCTCTCTCGCAGTAACGTTCAAGCAAACGGAGTGACAAGTAGGGACCAAAGCGTGATAAGAGGGCACTCCATGCAAGTTAGGACTTGTGCAACAGGGTGCTACCCTCTTATGGGCCGGCGTAAACTCTGGTGCTCGATGCGCCAACACCATGAACAAGGCCACCACAACGACGCTGCTTAGCGAGAGACGAAAAGGCCGCTCTCAACAAGGATGAGATTGTCACCTTGTTGTGACCGCCGTATCGCTAGCATCTCTCTTTTGTTTGCCTCGATGTTGGGGCTATTGGAACCAAGAATCACGGCTTTCAGGGGACTTTTTGCGCTTGCGTAACGTACTAGAAAGGGTGGAAACGGTCGCATAACGGCCGGGTGTCGGGGATGAAGAAGGCGGCGGCCAAGGACAAGCCGGCCAAAAGTCGGTCGGCGATGTGTCCAAGGCGGGCAAGCCCACAAAAGACGGGTCTACCAAATCCCACCGCGACTCGTTGACGCACGCCGTCCATGCCGACGAGGCCGACGCGCCGCCACCGACGGCGCTGCGCGTGGCTGACACCTCGGAAGATGTCGTGCTCTCGGTCATGGACATTGTTGTCGCTGAGACGATGGCCGCGATTCCGCACCACGAGCGCGTTGGACGATGCGTACACAAAAATTTCTGCATCTCAACGCAGCTGTGGACCGTGAAGTAGGTGGCCTTTACGGTCGATGCGGTGGTCACATTGGCGTACACAACCGTGCACATGGGCTGCGACGTGACGTACGACGACGAACTCTCGTGGATCGGGTCGCCCGAGCCCGAGGTCTGCGCCGGCCCCATCGACCGGTGCCAATTTGAGAGATGATATTCGTTGGTTCAACGCGCGCTGTTGTAGCTACGCCGTTCTGTCGCTGCCACGCAAAGACACGAGCACGCGCCCGCCCAAGCACTTTGCCACTGCAAGCGACGGCTCCCGCAGTCTCTCGCGCACGCACTCGGAGCGGTCGAATTCCCGCACGGGGAAGCGGCCATTGGCGCTCGGCGGCACCGCAGCACCCATCGAAGCCGCACCAACGGCGGCTCCCAAAGAGATACCCCGCGTCACACGCATCCACTACCCGTCCGAAATCATGACCGAGGTGCGTCACGACACATTGTGGACATAGTGTCTGATGATGATGATGGGTCTAGGACCGACGGCGGTGGCGGCAAGAGTGCATGGACCGGTTGACGGCCACGGCGCAGACAAAAGCGCGCTGGGGTCGGGTGGCGTTGATCCGGCGCGTCATCAATACGATTCAGACGGACCCCGATAGCATCACCGAGCTCGATACAAGCGTAGACCACCGTCGAATGTTGTGGTGGAGTGACAGTACCCTGTCACCATGTAGGCCGTGCCGCCACCGACAGCGCTCGAGACGACGGCCGTCGCGACGGTCCTCGAACGCAACCAGCCAGACGACACGGCGACCTTGTATATACCCACGTCGCGCGAAAGCACGGTGCTAGACGACGCGTCGGTCAAAGGGGACGATGTGTCGGTCAAGACGGGGCGGCATGGGAAAAGCCGGATGCAGCGATCCGGGTCGCTGGAGCCGCCGCATATCAAGAAGCCACCAAAAACCGCCAACTGGTTCTACGACAAGACGACCACGGAGAACGAACTCAAGGAGAGCGAGCATGCGTACGAGCCACTCATGTCGGAATTTCAGCGGGACAAATTTCCCCAGTCGATCGAGCTCAACGCCGGCGTGACGCTGATCCACGGTTCGATCCTGCAATGCGGCGTTGTGTGTTTTAAAAGTACGCAGGGGTGTCGGTGTACACGGGGCCGCAACGACAAGAATCGCCCCAATCCATGTCTCGAAAAGGCTTTCGGGTACGACATGAAATCGCGCGGAAATATCGGAAACATCAGAAAATTGGCGCTAGAAACACCTGAGTTTGCCGCAAAGTGGCCCCAACAAGGTCAAATTGACATCGCTCTCGTCGGCGTCGCCGACGTTCTCGGAGATACAAGACACGGACGCGAGTCCGAACGTGTCGCCCCGGTCCGAATTCTCGATCCACACGACCCCGCGAAGGAGTACCCTCAGCGATGGCTCCAATCGACCCAACCTAAACTCACCCGACGCTGTCAAAGCGCGACCAACCAAGGTACGCCGTGTCGAGGCGAGTTGCCAACTATATATGCCTCATTGTCTAGACACCGCTGCATCAGCACAGCCCCGCAATCCGCGTTCGCGTCTCGCCCATGAAGGCCCGACACACCCAACGCTCGGCCATCAGTCCGCGAACAATATGTGACCCACGGCGACTACGGTAATAAATTGCATGGCACGGAAAGGACCTTGCTGCATCGTCTACGCTAGGTTGGCGTCTTGGACATTCCAAAAAAGCGACCTGCAACAGCACTCGGCGCGCTCCTGAGCCTCACGCCCTCGACGGGTTTCACCAAACGCTCCACGGTACCTCCACCTCGTATTAGAAACACAGCTGGACATGTATTCGATGGTGTAGAAGTCCAAATACATTCGGGAATTCCCGAAACCCAAGCCCGAAGTTGTCACCGTGCTCAAAGACGAGCCGCAGCGGATGGCATGGCTTGGCTAATGCTACCGCTTTAACATTAATCCGACCTCATCAACCAGTCGCATTATTGTGTCCAACGCTGGTCCTTGTATGGATTAACTTTTTTGAAATTAAACTACTGCAAGGGATCCAGGCAACACGTGACGAGAAGTGATACATCGTGCAGTAGCAAGCAGAACTTGGATGGAGACAGCGTGGTGGACTGATGGATGTTGCGATCTTGAGCGGTCGTGTCCGATCATGGGGTCGTCGCCGCACCCCCTTTTCGAAATGCGATCGGTTACGTTGCCGTGTTTTATAATTGCATACAAATAGCAAGTACATTGATTGATTGTCCGGATAACGACGTCGTATCCGGCGAAACGGACAAGGAGGGTGTTGACGCGGATATCCGAAATAGCCCAGAGCTCCTGTTTTCGTCGGGCCCGTGGATGGCCGAGATCAACTACTACGACGGCGACCTCTCGGAGGCGCTGTCGACGCTCGATGGCATCATGGCACGGCTGGCCAAGGCGCCGCCTGCCGTACGCGGCGAGGTCGACATAACGATAGGCGCCATGCACGGGCTCATGGCGGCCATAGGTGCTGGCCGAGGCCGAGAAGAAGCTCAAGGAAGTGATCGACCTCAAGAAGGGCTACACGCTCGCGCTGCGCCAAGTCACGGACCGCGAAGAGATCAAGGTGTTTCGCGAGGTAGGCGCGACGACGCATGGCCGGTTGGTCCACTGGCGCGTACGATAGAAAAATGACGTCTACGCGGCGCGGGTCGAAGAGCTCACGCGTGAAGTCAAGTGGGCCAAGTCCGAGACGGAGCGCAATGGCCTCTTTGGCGATGCGAAAGTCAACGCGGCCAAGATGCCCACGGGCAACCGTGAAATGCTCGGGAAAGCGCAGGAAATTCAAACCAAAACCGAAATGTCGCTCAAAAACACACAAAAAATGGTCGAAGCCTCAAAAGACGTGGCGCTGGCGACGGGCGAAGTGCTCCGCGAGCAGCGCAACCAAATCAATGCGATCACAGAAGAGGTCATGCGCATGGACGACGGCCTCGCCCGCGCCAACAAGGTATTCTTGCACATGGATGATGGCGCGATGATGATGATGATGAGCTAGCTGCTCCGAACGTTTGGCCGGCGCATGGCGACCGATCGCGTCATTCTAGTGTTTACGTTTTTTGTTTTTGCCGGCGTCGCCGGCATCATTATCTACTCCGAGCTCAACCCCGACCAAACGACGTTTTATGTCCCCGACCAAGTCAAGCCGCCGGACCCGAGTACGCCATCTATACTGCATTTGACAGGATCGAAGGAACGCGTGGATATGTAGACGCAGCGATCAATGCGACCTCGACGTTTCTGAATTCCACACTCAAGTGACGCGTTGATTCTACGTTGCCGCACTCAACCGACCCTCTGCTGCCTGTCTAATCGCAATATGAAGAGGTCTCTTCTCGTTTGCGTTTGATTTTTGCAAATGCCCAAGTCGCGCATGATCAACGCACTTCGCGGTCCGAAGGATGTAGGAAAGCTTGCCATACGGCGGCGAAGACATGAGCTACCTCTACACCTATACAGTAGTCGTCGGTTCCCTGTGAAGGTCGCCCTCGCAAAAGACCATAATGTTGTCCCATGTTGTCCATGGTATTGGATCCAGAATGATACACGACTCCGTGAGCGGGCTAGGTTTAATTTTTCGCATTCTGGTACTGTACCAAAACAAATTATTTAAATCCTATTGATTGGAAAAACTAGATTCTTATTGCACCATTCCCTTGGGCTTGGGCCGGCCCATTATTCGTCCGAGTCGGATCCGCTCACCTCGTCGTCCGAGTCTGAGACGTTGGATGCATCGTCGTTGGAGCTCGTATCGCTCTCGTCCTCGGAGGATGAGGCAGGTAGAACGTCGTCGAGCTGGTACAAGCCGCTGAGCTTGGCGAGGTGGCCTCGCTTGGATATTCCAATCGCCGCAAGGTCTTCCATCGAGAGACCGTGGTCCTTGATGAAGCCAAGGTCGTCGTACCCCGCCGCGTCAAAAAGAGAAATGTACATCTCGAGCCCGATCGCGCGCAGCCACATGTGCACTTGGTTGTCGTTTGGCTCGACTCCTGGCTGTGTTGAACCTAGTTCTCGAAAAAGTCTATCACGACACGTCATCAATCCATGTATCCTTTACCTTGGACGTCTGTTGGAGCCAAGAGAGCTGCGATCGCAGCATGGCCTTGTGCACTCGCACACTCGTGCGGAAGCGTCCCCACCTACATTTTTACATTTTTGATTTTCATCAAACGAAGAATACGATGGAAATACCGCTGACGGAAGCTGCTTGGCGTTTGCTTCCAGGAGCAATTGCACCATGCGCATGTTGCCAAGCGTCGCTGCCACATGCAAACAAGTGACGCCGTGCTACCAATAGCGTGCAGCCGCTGGAAGCGAACGCGATTTAAAGTACCTCGTCGACAGCGTCAATGTTGGCGCCATGCGCGAGAAGTCGCTGGGCGACCTCGATTTGATCGAATTTGACGGCCACGTGCAGCGCCGAGTAGCCTTGTTTGGTCTACAACGCGAGCGTGAACCTTGAGAAAGGAAGAAGAACGATCCAACGCTGCCAGTGTCGTGGACAATGTTGTTGTTGTTGTTGTTCTTGTCGCTTGTGAGCTGCGCCTCGACGAGACCGACGTCACCAATGGCAGCGGCGTACATGAGCGCTGTCCACACCAGCGACCCCGTCGGCGAGCCCGCGTCGAGGTGCGTCACGGCCACGTCCATCGCGATCTTGAAGAGGTGCGTTTACAAGTTGGCGCACCTCAAGTGCAGACAGTCTATTGATAGCTGCGATTGGGATGAGGCGCGCGTTCAAGTTCGCGCACGGCAAATTCATGTCGTGTCACGCTCCAGCCTTGCATATCTATTTAGACGGCCACGCCTGGGCTCTTTTGTTCTCGCAAACTGACAAGCTCTGCACCGGCTGTCGCCTCGCGTGGAGTAGCACCTAATCATCGAGTGCGCCACGCACCCTGGAGGGATATAGCGTCACCGACCCCGCGGCTTCTCGTCGGCATGGCAGCCACGGACAAGAAGACCATGATGCGCGACTACCGCCAGCACGGGTGAGCCTGCGTGGCGCTCCGCCAACAAGGTGGCGACAGTGCGATCGCACCTCTCGAAGCTTGCTGCACGATTGCCAAGACCGAGCTCATTCTGCCCTTGGAGTCGAAGACCCAGCATTGGCGCGCGTATTCCGCCGTTGACAACTGCTTTAGCATCCTCGAGTGATCTCGCGTTGACCGTGCGATGCCCAACCTCATGACCGACGACAAGGAAACAACACGGGTGATGTCGACGACTTAGAACCTCGACGTGCTGGCTTGCATCAACTCGGCAGATCGGCGACTCGTCCAGCAATATGATGACTCTTTTTTTCCGACGTCGCTGAACACGTCGACGTGCCGGCGGCGGCCTTCACTCGTCCAGAGACTTTCATTTCACGATGGCTACAAGTTTTGCGCTGCCACCGCCGACGATGACGCACGCCGACGGCGATGACGACTGCGACGCTGATGGCGGCTACGACGATGGCACTGGTAGCGCTCTTGTGGCGAGCCGCAGCCTCGTCTTCACGGTCGTCGGTCGCCGGTACCTCTGTTTGCACTGTCTACTGTGTTGGCTTTGCCATCTGGCAACGTCTCGGAGGTGGTCGACGGCGCATGTCTTGCTTGCCAGCGGCACCCATCTCAGCATTGTCAACTCGACGTTGGTCTCGCAGCTAGACGCGCGTGGTGTCGACTGCCAAGTGCGCGCCATAGCGTCACTGGAGCTGCAGTCGGGCAATCTATGGTGCCTCTATGACGTGGTCCGCATCCTGACGCTGGCTTCGCGTAGTACTCTGACCAGTGGTAGGCGTGCGTCGACACGGCGCTGCCGCCGATGGTCATAGTGGCGCGCTCGCTCCTGCAGCGCCTTCGTTACTCGACGGCAGAGCGTTGCGGCAAGCCGATCGTCGGTCGGCCGCGACGTCAAAATTGACAGGATGCGGTGTTTAGTTTCACACAGTTTCTAGTTTTTAGGCCTTGCAGCTTTGCGCCTGACTGTCTTGCCCTCGATCGCAAACGCTCGTTTCGACAGCTGTGCCACGCCGCGCACCGACGGCTGCGCTGTTCCGCCCGTCTCGCCGCCCTTCTCGCACCGGCCATACCCGCCGTCCCGCGTGCTGATGCGACCGCCAGCAAGGTGTCATCCCTTTCCGTGATCCTCGCGGCGCCGACAACGTCCAGTCTTTGGACTCGACGCAGCCATTGCGGCTCCGCATCCTGCCACAGGGCGACGTGCCACGCATGGATGCGCTAGCAGTACGACGTCGTTTTGCCGCCGCTGCTGCCATCCAGCACTCGCCCGCCGATGCACCCGATCTGCTCGGCATGCCTATTCATGTTTCTTTAAAATGCAAATCTACTCTTCTTGGTCAGCAAGCGCCACGTCATGGAAAAGACAACAACACGATGCTCAATATGTAAATGCAGTTGTTATCATTCATGCTTCTTTAAAATGCAAATCTACTCTTCTTGGTCGGCTCGCCGCTGCAGTCAAAGTGCTTGGAGTTGATCGTTTGCCAATCAGGAATGCGGATCGGGCTCGACTGGTCGTACACGGCGTTGAGCACCTTGGTCGACGGGCTCGACCCGACCTTCCAGAGTGCCTTGAACGACGAGCTGTAGTCGGCGACGCCGTTGAGGCAGTTTTCAAAGTAGAGCGTCCGCATCTTGACAATGTCGGCTTCGACGTCGGCGTCGGCCATGTCGCGCGGTGCAGCGGCAAAGACGTCAAGGCGCCAGTTGAGGAGCGCCTGCGCCGCCGAGTTGTCGGCGATCGGAACCACCGTGTTGGTCACCGTCGTCGTCGTCGTCGTCGTGGCATTGGCATTGTCAGCCAGATGGCGGGTCGCGGCGCGAGGCGTGCCCGAGTTCTGGCAGTTGGTGTAGAGGTCGCCGAGAAGACCCGTAAACTCGTAGGCGTAGCTGTTGCTGCCGAGGTCGTTGGCGTCCACAAGGCCATAGTACGCCGACGGCAGCCCCTTGAAAAACGCTTGCATGCTCGGCTCGCTGTCGACGGCGACCGTCTTGCCGTTGACGACGGCGCGCATCGTGATGGCCGACGTGGCCGTGATCGCACCACCGTTCGCGCTGCAGCCGGTAAACGACATGGCGTGCACCTGCTTCTGCGCGG